ACCTTTAATTCAATAAAAAGTTTGTCAGATTGGTAAGCTATTTTAAAAACTAAATAAACCTAACTCACTCACTTCTGAGTGGGTTTAGATTTATCTAGTTTTTCATGACTGATACTTGGACTAGTCTTATTTGAAAGACATCTTCCATTCTCTGGTTCGCTACCTGGATGGCTGAGCTGGCCAGCTTCTGCTCCTTCCCAGGTGTGTTAGCTGGAAACTGGGTCAGGAGGGAAGTGTCTGGAACCTGAACCAGGATTCTGGTGCCACAGGCGGCAGCTTTGTCCACCTGCTATGCCCCCACACCGAATGCTGTGAGCAGCCGAGCACCGGGGCGGTGACCTAATTAGGCTTTCTCATTTGGCGTCCCATCCTTCCCCGTTGCGGCTCTCTCATCACTTTGGGCGTTGAGCCTGTACCACAGGAATGCAGAAGGTATGGAGAGACTTCAGAAAACTTTGTGGGAAGTATAATTAAAACATTTATTTTTAAACAATTTTCAAGTAAAACAAGAGGGAAAGACAGGAAGTAGTAAGGTTATTTTCATGGAAAACGTGTATGAGAAATTATGCATTTTCTTAAAAAATCTGAATTGTATCGCTTTCCTGCAAGCTTTCTGAAGTGCTCAGGCATAACGTGCTACAACAGTCTGAGCCTTGGGTGGCTTGGTTGCTTTTTCAGATAATTCTTACAAGACTAACTCTTCTTCCTTCCTGCTGTCTTTCAGGACCCAGCCACATGTCATTCTACGTGCGCGCTCACAAGGGGTCCACCCTCTCGCAGTGGTCTCTGGGCAATGGCACCCCGGTCACAAGTAAAGGGGGGGACTACTTTGTCTTCTACTCCCACGGACTCCAGGCTTCCGCGTGGCAGTTCTGGATAGAAGTGCAGGTGGGAATTTTCTTGGCCAGGCTCCCAGGTGGCCCTAGCGAGCATCCACGGGTTTTGCTGTTGGCGTGCTAAGAGAGCTGCCCGTTTCTCTCCTGGCAGGGCTCGGCGGACCAGCCTGAAGGCATGGTCACTGTGGCCATCGCCGCCCACTATCTCTCCGGGGAGGACAAGAGATCGCCAGCACTGGACGCCCTGAAGGAGAAGTTTCCAGACTGGGCGTTCCCCTCCGCCTGGGTGTGCACCTACAGTGTCTATGTGTTTTGATCTTGTGACTGAGCGTGAAGCATGTGGCCAGTGGATAATTCCTGTGACACAGTCTCTCCCTGGGTCACGTGGATGTTTGTAACTCAAGTCACTGAATTTTAATGGAGAAATGTTGGAAGAACTTCGGTTAGCACTTTTCAGGGCCCAACACTGCAATGGTTAAGCTGTGGGACATACATGGCCTGCTGACACTTGACACTGCCAGTCCTCTGGCACTTAAGCACAAGCGGGCATCGCCACTGTCATTCTGTGACCTTCAGGACAGAAGCCCATGACCACCGCAGTAGCCACTCCTCCAGGATCAAGGACATAAACTGAGGCCATCCTTAAGGAGACAGAAGTCCTAGCCAGCCCGCGTGCTGCCTCAGGGGAAGCAGCTCTCGAGGTCTAACTGGGGGGCCCTGGGAAGGGACAGTCCTGCAGATGGGACACTGGGCCACGCAGTGGACTTTAGGCCCCAGCCTGTGCTGAGCCACCTGGCCCCGAGGGGAGCAGGCTGGGGTCACCACAAGTTGACAAGGGGTCCCCGAAACGGACTCTTTCCCTCTGAAATGTGCTCCACTTCCCTAGGGATTCTTGCAGACTTTTTAGGTTCCAAATTATTTTCTGTGCAAGTCCTTAACTTCCTCAGCACTGACCTGCCGCTCTGGTTACCATGGGGTAGAGCAGAGTGGAAGGGGGAAGGTGGGGATTTTATAAGTATTATTTTTTTTTCTCGTGGGAGTCTTCTATTTTACAAGGTTAATCCTTTAGGACATGATGTCCTGGCTGAATTGGGGCCTTTTGTTCTCAACCGTGCCCAGTGCTTGTGTCGTCACTGACGGGGAAGATGGGCATGCGACACACGCTGATCTGGGCTCTAGCTATGACGTCAGTGGTAAACTGCTGAGCTTTCTGGATAAATTCTATGAAACGACAGGCCAGGAGATAGGTGAGAAAAAAGGCACAGCCAAAAGGGGGAAAACAAAGTTGGCATCTCCTGGGAGTCCAGGCGTTGCAGCGCGCCCTCAGGGCGCCAGGGGCAAGGGCGCAGGGCCGGGATGTGCCCGCTGGAGCCTGGGCTGCGGCAGTCACTGTCTGGTAGACAGGCTGTGCTGTTTCAGGTGTTTCAGGTGTCTGGCTTGTGCTCCTCTCCTGCCGGGTCTTGTTTGTAACCGTTAGCACAGTTGAGGGCTTAGACTCACACTTGTAAGGGAAAGGAAAGAGACCAATGAATTTGCAGACAGGCACACTGCCCCGTGGCTAACATAATCACTAGAAATTAGTACGTAGGAAAGCCACCCCCCATCTCACCTTGAGGACCTTCTGTGAGAGCTGCTGCCTGCGTGGCCTCCTTGGGAAAGGATGCTGGGACTCCTCAGCAGGGGTCACGGCTGTCCTCGGGGGTACTTTCCTCCTCAGCATTATGGTAGTTTGGATGCTGTATAGTCAGTAACAAGCTGCTAAGCAGTCTCAGGGCTTGTTAATACACTGGCCAGTTGTCTTTAGCGCCCGAAACAGGTCGTCATAATCAGCATAGCGTTACTGCACCATTAGGAAGCACACCATCGGAACATCGGAACACCTTCCCCGAGGGTCTTGCCCAGCTCTAACTAATGCATTATTTTCTACAGAGTTAAATTCAAGTAGCACAGTACACTTTCAGGGAAAATATGAAGAATTATGATTTAAGTGCTTTTTCCTTCTGTTGAGCTAAGAATGACTGTCGCATGGAGTGCTTCCACAGTTAGCCAGGATGCCTCCAGCCGTCCCCGCCCCGGGAAGCTGGAGGGAAGCAGACTGTCTGATCCTGGTTTGCTGCCTTGTTGAAGATTTGTTGTTGCCTTACAATGTTACTGAAATAAACTTTTTACCATAAATGATTGCTCTCTCTAATGAATGAAGCAGTTAACTTGTAATGCAGAAACATGCCATACCATTTCCTGTCCACAGGGTGGCTAGCATCCCAAACCAGCCAAAGTGACACATGTTCTCTGCCTCCATCACTTTCACTACAAACTGAAGTGGTGGTACCCTTCCAGAGAAGTTGACCATATTTATACATCTTAAAGAACTTCCTTTTCAACAGTGACCACCCCCCACAGAGCGTGCCTTGGAGGTGAAGCAGCTCTTCGTGGCGGACTGTAACCACAAGTATTTACGTGTCTCTTTGAAACTACCGCCTTCACATTTGATTTTCAAAAATGTAACCTGTAATTTCTGCTCAGTTGCACTCTGCAGTGACGCAGTGGGGCTTACCCCAGAGGTCGTTGATTTAATGCAAAACAGTAAGGTAGTACACTCAGTAATACAGAGTAGAAGCAGGGGAGCGTCTTAACAGACGAGTAAACGCTCTCCAAAAATCCTATGAGAAACCTCAAGCTAATACGGTACTCAGCAAGCCGGCAGCTCCCCTAAAGAGCAAGAAGACACGAGGCGCGGCTGTGTCTCAACTAGTGGCTCCATCTAGCTGGGGAATTTGCCAAGTTCAAAGGGACAGGATGGATCTTGGTTGAAATAAAACACAGCCTCAAATGTATGGCATTTTCCATCAACTCCTGCAAAGCTACAGCCATTAAGCCCGCCTGGTACTGATCTAAGGACAGCCTATGGAACGTTACACCACAAAGTACAATTAAGCAAATCCAGCGCCTGGCGTGATGGCGCAGTGGTTAAGGTCCTCGCCTTGCATGCCCGGGATCCCATATGGGCACTGGTTCTAATCCCGGCAGCTCCTGCTTCCCATCCAGCTTCCTGCCTGTGGCCCAGGAAAGCAGTGGTGGACGGCCCAAAGCTTTGGGACCCTGCACCCTGTGGGAGACCCGGAAGAGGCTCCTGGCTTCCGTGCTCACTTCGGGAGTGAGAAGATCTTCCTCGCTGTCTCTCCACCTTTCCAAAAAAAATAAAGCTTAAAAAAAAAGAAGTAAATCCAGCGCCTGGCGTGATGGCGCAGTGGTTAAGGCCCTTGCCCGGGATCCCAGATGGGCGCCAGTTCTAATCCCGGCAGCTCCTGCTTCCCATCCAGTTCCCTGCCTGTGTCCGGGAAAGCAGTTGAGCACGGCCCAGGGCTTTGGGACCCTGCACCCGCGTGGGAGACCTGGAAGAGGCTTCTGGCTTTGACCGTGCTCACTTGGGGGGTGGGGGAACATACATCTTAAACCTGAGACACCGGCCTTGGGTAACAGGTCATAGACTCATGACCCTGGAGGGATTTTGTGTGGAGGTTAGGACACTTGGGATACCCTCTCCTGTGTCAGTGAAAGAGGTGCCCACTTGGGGGAGTGAGTCATCGGATGGAAGATCTTTCTTCCTCTGTCTCTCCTTCTTTCTTTGTCTCTCCTTTTTCTTTCTCTGTCTGTCTCTCCTTCTTGGTCTCGTCTCTCCTTCTGTCTCTCCACCTTTCCAATCAAAATAAAGCTTTAAAAAAAAGAAGCAAATCCAGCACCCGGCATGATGGCACAGCGGTTAAGGTCCTCGCCTTGCACGCCCGGGATGGCCGGTTCTAATCCCGGCAGCTCCAGCTCCCTGCTTGTGGCCCGGGAAAGCAGTTAACATTTAACATTGCCAACTCTGATTCTCCCATTACATATCTACATAGAATAAGAATTTTAAATCTCTGAATTTCGAGTTGCAACATAAGGAAAATTTAAAAAGGTAAAATTACAAAAAGTGGCTTTCAATACATATTTTTGCTGTTGCCTGATAACAAATAAACAGAAGTTTGTGCAATCATTTTTATTGCCCTTATTAAAAAAAATACAAATTACAGAAGTAGCAACAAATTTAATTACAAGCAAATGTTGACTCTCCCCTTAGATGATTTCTTTTGGTATCAACAAATAATTGACATGAATGCACTAAAACTCAAATAGTTATAGTAATATTTAAGTTCCTTGGTTAAAATGATGGCTTAAAACAATTGATGTGAACCAAACAACATGGTAAAAATGAGTTTTTCAAAGAATTCAAAGTATCTAATAAATAGAACATGTAAACTTACCAATTTTCTTCCCTTGTGGCCTATTTATTAGTTGAAAGCCAACATTTCACAGAGGAAGGGACTCGCTCACGGCCTCCACCGCAGGAGTCACCCTGTGGGCGCTGCTCGCAGGGTGACCTCGGCGGCAGCATGGTGTGAGCTAGCCAGCTGTGTGCAGCTGTTACTAAATGAGGATCTGCAGCAAACGACAGTGATGCTGGTTCCCTCTGACGGACCGGGGCAGGAGAAGAGAGGTCAGTTTATTTTCTGGCTGGGCTGCCTGGACTCATTCAGGAAACACTGACCTTCCAGCCATTCAGGGAAAGGTGGTTTGAAGCTGACTTAAGTAACAGTAGCACCAGAAGGACCAGGTACCAATAAGACCATATTTGATCCATTAGGAGTTTTATGGTGTGAAATTATTGCACTTCTAATGTAAAAAGTAAATGACAGTCAATTCCCCCAAATCAGTAATTTTGAAGAGTTTGATGAATTATGAACCAAACAATTCAAGATAGTTTCAATTCCCTTCAAAGGAAACGGGCTAAGAACTGAATCCGGGTATTTCCTTTCCAGGGCAGCGAGAGGACCAGGCCTTGTTTCTGAACTGGAATTGCACTGTGAGAAGAGGCTTTTTTTTTTTTTTAAACATAGTGGTACGAATTTGGTCCATATCAAATATGTTGTTACAAAAATAAGTTTTTGTAAAAAATAACATTGCATTCCTTGTTCAAATTGCACAGTACAAACAAGCTATCTAAATGAATACTGTTATAAGGTAATTAGATACAGTGGAGGATAGGTGACTAGTATGAACCAATTATGAAATATGCAGTTTTCACAACATGAAAACAAATTTGTCATCTACAAATACATAAAATACTCTAAAGTTTACAATGAAGGATGCATTCTTTACAGACTAATTTTTAGTAGCCGTGATAAGGTTCAGCAGTCTATTTACATAAAAGTCCATTTTATTCCATTTACAAAATCAATAAATAGTAAACTATGTTAATTTGCACAAAAATCTGTTCCATTTCATGATCAGTGTGAGCATTTTGTTATGACCAGCTGAGCCAATAAGGAGTCTGTCTTTATGAAGACCGCTCTTTTTGGGAAAGAAAAACAAGCCCTGTTGCTATAATTCTCTAAGTATTTATAGGCATGCGGAATCCAGCATAAAACCTTACAAATTATAATACAAGTGCTAAAAATATGAGTAGTGTCTTTGGATTTATTTACACCAAGAGTATTCACAAAAAGGTACAATTTTTTGATACAAAACAGTTTAGTGGCATCTACCAGCAGAATTGGTGAGAATTCCTCAGCCTGTGCCCACACTGATCTAGGAGGAACAAAGCTCGCTCCAGCGGGCACCCTCGCTCCGTGTGGACAGCCTGCACGGATAGGACTGGGGTCTGACGGGCTGCCAACGGTAAAGGAGAACGGCTCACGCTGACACGGGCAGGGGAGCTGCCAAGCCGGACATGGAGAACGGAACCGGAGAAGGTTTGTTTTGGTGCAGACACCCTTGGCGTTCACGTGTTATGACACTCAGTTTCCACGGCTTTTGGAGGCCCCCGCGGCACCAAAACCAACATCCCGGAACTCCGCTTTCCACGGCCCTCGTGCGCGTCCCCGTGCTGTGCCAAGGCAGGCATCTGTTCGGGAGGGCCAAGCAGGGAGTGTAGTGAGCTCGGACCCGGTCAAGCACCTTAGCACACACAGTCAACCAGGGAAAAGCGCGAGAAGCTCTAAGCAGTCAAAAGCTCACCGGGGCCAAGCACTCCCTTAAGAGCTACCAGCCTGTGAATAAAGCCCAAATCTGCTAATGTACGTATGTACAGCATGTTGTATTTCTCCTGCAGCTTAAGAAATTTTTTATGAAAGATGCTTTATTTGATATCACATTTTTACGGAGTCGGAGATTTCTTACTTAAAATCTAATAATACTTTACGAAAGAGACTCTGAGCCCCTGCGTTCTCTTCCCCTTTAAGTCATCCGTCTGCAACTAGGACACAGTGGACTCAGCTGCTGCTAATACTGCTTGTCACACGTCGCCTCACGGTCAGGACACAGAGCAGTCGTAAGTCCCATCCTGAAAGGGCTCCTCCTGCTCTGCCCGAGCCGTGTCGTCCTCCTGGCGGCTGGCTGCACTGGTCCCCGCCGCCTCGCCCTGCGGGACGGCTCCGTGGCTGCAGGATCCCCTGCGCTCCTCGGCCCGGGGACTGGCCTGCTCCGTGGTCTTGCCTGTGGTTACTGGCTGGAAGGCGTCAGGCTCAACTTGCTCTTCCGTCATCTCACTGAGCTTCTGCAGTTGAGGCTTAATCATGTTTAAAAATGGCTTATATCCAGGGCTAAGCAGAGGGGGAGAGAAAAGCAGCTCTCATCTTCCAAATTCACAAGCCTTGGTACAGTGTTAGATCAACATCTAAGCGCGGACAGTAAAGGCAGCAGCAGGCTGTGGGAGAAGGCAGGCTGCCGAGTGGCCTGCTCAGTGCCCTGGGACTGCCACACATGGGGCCACGACTCCAGGATCTGAGCATTAGAAGCAAACACTGACATTTTAACATCAAACACATGTGGCAACTGAAGAGAATGAGGTCCATGTAAGGGAAATCCTGACGCAGAAACCCACATCCCGCTGACAGCAGCGGGGCTGGGCTGGACCACGAGGCTTCTCCAGTCCCGTCAAGCACTCAAAATGTGAGCTTGCTAGCAGCCACCATGAAATGCTAACTTCAGACTGATCTTTTCAAGCCGATCTTTTCAAGCCGACCTTTTCTTCAATTCCATAGAACTATAAGCCTTAAGTTCGAGACTAATTCTAAGATGATCTGCTGTGCGGCAGCCCCAACCTAGTGATGTCTTTTCATATTGCAATGTATAAACTCAACTTCACTAAAGAGACATTAATCATTCAAGTAGCTGGGTCAGGAATGACTAAAGTAAAAATTAATATATGGAAGTATTTTTATTTCTAGTTAACTTAAAACTATCAAACTTGAACAACATAACTAAACCAGCTGAACCACAACTAAGCTGTGAGGAGAAGGGACAGATCCACCGAGGGCTAAGGGGCCCAGGGAGACCACACTTACCAATCCGTAGAGGCCCACTGGTCCACAGCACGGAGCCCCATCTTAATGTTCTGTAACATCTCTCCATCCACCTCTGAAGACTGTATAATAGCCAGAATCTGGTTGATTACTGAGGATTCTCTCAGAATCAGGCCAATGACAATGCACCAGTCCAAACATCCGGCCTCCATGAAAATATGCAGGAAGTACCTAGAGCGGAAACACCAGGGTTGGGACTGGGAAGAAGCAAAGCTTGCATAGGGCGGCAGTGATCAGAAGGCAGCGGTCCCTCTAAGCCATCTCTACGAACTCCCCGAGTCGAGACTGAGCTTGAAGATCTGAGGGACTCACCGAAGCTGGACCTGGGATTTATGAGGGCCTTTGCTTGCCAGCTCCATGGAGATGTGCTCCAGCTCGGACGGAGTCAGACTGAGCGTGGAGAAATTCTCCTCGACCACCGTCCAGTCCCCATCCACCATGGAGCTGCTCTCAGTCAAATCCGTGGCTGAACCAATACTGCATTCGTCACCTGATGAAGAATCAGCAAATCACAAACCAGGTTCATGTGGAACACACTATGTATGGATTCTGCCTAAATATTTACTTATTTATTTCAAAGAGTTACAGAGGACAGACAGATCTTCCATCGGCTGGTTCGCTCTCTAAGATGGCCACAATGACAAGCGCTGGGCTAGCACAAAGTCAGGAACTTGAGCCAAGTCTTCCTGGTGGGTGGCAGGTGCACAAACGCCTCGCCATGTCCCGCTGCTTTCCCAGCCACTGGCAGGGAGTTCAACAGAGGTGGAACAGCCAGCACCAACTGGGGCCCACAGGTGATATACAGAGTAGCTTTATCTTCTATGCCACAATGCTTACCCCTCCTTTAATTTTAACTTTGAGCTGTTTTTGCAGATGTTAGCTTTACAATTTTGAACCAAAAAACACTGGATTCACTGCTGAGCTTGTGCCATTCACAGCAGTAGATGCTTGAGAAGAAGGTCGCTGGAGTCGACCAGACAGTACGTGCCTTCAGTGTCACAGTGACCATGAGCGGACAGTGTTCTGTCTCCCACAAATAAGCTTTGATCAAGTCCTTAGATTCAGCTAAATTACAGCAAATACAGAGGAAACTGCTTAAAAACTAAGCACTTAGAAGCAATCAATAAAACTACCATGAGAAAAGATCCCCAGACACAAGTTTCTTCAATGAATGTTCTATAAGAGGTGGGGGAAGAGAAGGGTACACTCAAGAACAGATTTAAAAATGTGAATGCAATGTGTGAGCCTGATTCGGGTCTTGACTCATACTATTACAAAACCGTGACATTTGGGTGTTGGTTCAGTTGGCTAATCTCCCCTGTCAAGTGCCAGGATCCCATGTGGGCACTGGTTCATGGTCCCGACGCTCCAGGGCCCGAGATGTACATCAGCGTGGGAGGCTAGAAGACTCCTGCCTGGGGATCAGCTCAGCTCCAGTGACGCGGCCGTCTGGGGAGTGAACGCTGGATGGAAGACCTTTCTCTCCTCTCTGGAAATCTACCTCCCCAACAAAAAGAAATCTTTTTTTTTTTTTTTTAAGATTTATTTATTTATTGGAAAGTCAGATATACAGAGAGGAGGAGAGACAGAGAGGAAGATCTTCTGTCCGATGATTCACTCCCCAAGTGAGCACAATGGCTGATGCTATGCCGATCCGAAGCCAGGATCCAGAAACTTCTTCCAGGTCTCCCACACGTGTGCAGGGTCCCAAGGCTCTCGGCTGTCCTCGACTGCTTTCCCAGGCCACAAGCAGGGAGCTGGATGGGAAGTGGAGCTGCCGGGATTAGAACCAGTGCCCGTATGGGATCCCAGCGTGTTCAAGGCAAGGACTTTAGCCACTAGGCCATGCCGCCGGGCCCCAACAAAAAGAAATCTTAAGAGAAAATCAGGACCTTTGAGAAACAAGCGGATGGAAGACTGACCTGTCTCCTCTCTGTAAGTGTCCCATGAGGTGCACAGGCGCTGTGTCCCTGCCTGGTCTGGTCTACCCCCCACCCAGCTCACGCTCCTCAGTGTAAGTTGCTGTTCAGCTAGGGAACCTCCCCTTATTCTCCTGTCAGCTCTGCCTCCTCCTTTCCTGGTTCTCACGTGTGTTGGTTGGGTGCTGCGGCTGCATCCGGCTCAGGCTACCTCACCTTGGCATTCCAACTTGTGTGTTGCTTTTGTCACGACTGGACCTGGTTCAACCCACACTCTGTTCTGGCGATCATATTTACCAGTGGATGACATGAACAGATTCAGCCTGGTCTGCCCCCGACCCATGCCAAATGCATGCCAGTGGGACACTTTCGATGACCTCTTGGCTGTTACCTTCCATGTTCCTTGCGCTGACCTGCAGGGTCTGTGTCCTGCTAGAGGAGTTGCCTGAGCTCCTCCATCAGAACCCCTCCATGTGCCAGGTTTCGCGCATATCAGTGGGTCCATGTGCCAGTTCGCCTCTTGTCCTAGCAGGAACAGTGGCCTTTCCTAACTGGCCATCATCCCATTCTGGTTCTTGCTGTAGAGTGTTTCAGCCCAGCCACGGTCGTCCATGCCCCCATATAGCTCGTATATGGCTCAGTTGAGGTTGGGACCTAGCCTAGTCCGTCCCACATCCACCCTGGTACTCCAAAGCACCAGAAGGTGTTACTGTCTGGCCCGGCCCGGTACATCTTTTTCCAATCCACATTTGTGCCAAGGGAGACAACAACTGTATCCAGACCCTGCCGCAGCCCCATCCACCTGTCATGACCCCTGCCTTAGACACCGTGGCTCAACTCTGTGCTTAATGTGGACCAGTTGGAGCCAAAACCAAGCTGGGCATGTCCTGTGTTGCACCCTGTGTTCCAGTCATGCTAGTGGACTAAGGTTTGCTTAGTCCGAACATTCAGCTCTCAGTCCCACACTTACATTAAGGTTTCATGTCCCGGTTCCTGGGAATCACCAGAAATTAGTGTCTCACCTACGCTAACGCTGGTCTTACTTTTGGGTGTCCCAAAGCAGCTATTTCATATCATCAAAAACCCCAGAGCTCGCCGCTGGGCGGCCAGCAGGCAGAGCCTGACACCACTTGGTGCACTGGCCACCCAAGGCCTGGGCCTCTGAACCAGCAAAAGACAGAAACCTTTCCATCTCTAGCTCTCCTTCTTTCTGTAAATCTGCCTTTCAGATAAAAACAAATCAATCTTTAAAAATATATATATCAGAGCAGTAATAAAACAAGCTAAAAAAAATAGTATAAAACATCAATGAAATGAAGACTTGGTTTGGGGGATGATAAAATCAACAAACCTTTAGCTAGCAATGGAAAGAGGGGAGGGAATCAAGTAATTTAGAAACAACCAGATAGTGTAACTGATAACACACGAATATAAAGGATCATAAGAAACTGCTAGGAGCAAATATAAGCCCAAAACCTGAAAAACTGGATGAAAGAGAGAAAGTTCAGGACACACAAACTGCCAAGATGCAGGATGAGAATGACATCCAATTGTAATTTTAAAATCTTCAAAAACAAACAAACAAAAAAAACGAGACTGGCTGGCTCCACTGCTGAATTCCACCAAACTTCAAAGAAAGAATCGGGGCTGGCATGTGGCTCAGGAGAGTAAGCCACCACCTGCAGCACCACCCGATGCACCAGGACCCCACAGGGGCGCCAGCTGGAGTCCTCTCCACTCCACTCCCAAGCGGTAGCCGGCCACAGTCCTGGATCCCCGCCACATATGCCGCAGATCCAGATGGAGCTGGAGGCTTCCTGCGTGACCTGTCCAGTCCCACCTGTTGCAGGTATTCGGGAAGTCAATCAGAAGGTGCTCCCTCTCTTATCAGATAAATATTTTATAGAAAGGTACGAAAATGAAGAGATAATAGCAATGATTCTCAAGTTATTCCAAAAACCTTGGAGGGACGCATTCCAAACTCACAAATTCAGCATAACCTTCATCCCCCAAAACAACAAAACATATTAATCTCACTGATGAACATAAACGCAAATTTTCTCAACAAAATAAAATCTACCTGCACATCAAAGAGCACTTATTCATTAACTATCTCTCCCTCTTTCAAATAATTCTTTCATTAAAAAAATCATTCAGCACGATCACGTCGGATTTATCCCAGGGATGCAAAGACGGATCAACTAACATAAATCGATGAATGTTACTGCATTGTACAGTCATTTAAACAGATGCAAGAAACAGCATTTGATACAATTCAACATCACCTCATGAAAAAAAGAAATTTGAGCAAATGAAGTCTAGAACAAGCACACCTAAACACAACAAAGTTATATATGAAAAACCCACAGCCAATCCCATTCCAAGAAGGTGACGGGGCAGCGAGACGAGTGACGACAGGCCCTCTGCCCATGCTGGAGTATGAGCAACTCCTAACTCCAGCCCCCAGCTTCCCATCAAAGCAGGCATGTAGAGACTGGTTATGGCCCAACTGGGTTCTCCTATGACACGGAAGACCTGGAATGAATTCCCAATGTCAGCCCTGCCCCAACTCTAGCCATTGCGGACATTGTGGAGTATTTGGTCTGGCTCTACCCTTCTCAGAAAGTTTATGATTTTTTTTTTTTTATTGGAAACGAAGATATATAAAGATCTTCTGCCCACTGATTCATTCCCCAAGTGGCTGCAACAGCCAGAGCTAAGCTGATCCGAAGCCAGGAGCTTCTTTGGGGTCTCCCATGTGGGTGCAGGGTCCCAAGCCTTTGGGCTGCCCTCAACTGCTTTCCCAGACCACAAGCAGGGAGCTGGATGGGAAGTGGAGCAGCCGGGACCAGAAACGGCACCATATGGGGTCCCGGAGCATACCAGGCAAGGACTTCAGCCACTAGACTATCACGCCGAGCCCATCACATTGTTTTTTTTTTTTTAAGATTCATTTTATTTTTATTGGAAAGGCAGATATACAGAGAGGAGAGACAGAGAGAAAGAACTTCCGTTCGATGATTCACTCCCCAAGTGAGCACAACGGCCGATGCTATGCCTATCCGAAGCCAGGAGCCTCTTCTGGGTCTCCCACGTGGGTGCAGGGTCCCAAAGCTTTGGGCCGTCCTCGGCTGCTTTCCTGGGCCACAGGCAGGGAGCTGGAAGGGAAGCGGGGCTGCCGGGATTAGAACCGGCGCCCATATGGGATCCCGGGCGTGCAAGGCGAGAACCTTAACCACTGCGCCACCGCGCCGGGCCCCACATTGTTTTTTAATAGGGAAAAATTCAAAGTGTTTTCTCCAAGATCTGAAATCAGACAACCATGTCCATTCTCATCACTCTCACTCAACATAACATTGGAAATGAGCAACTAGGTGGAAGAAAGAAAAGCCATGTGGCAAGGGCAAATGTCAAGTGATCCTATTTGTGTTTTTGATTTTGAATACAAGTATAGAAAAATCTAAAAACTACCAGCAGACTACTTTCATGAAGCTTTATTTGAGAGAAGGCAGAGAGTGAGCTGGCAAGGGTTGGTTTACTTTCTAAATGGCTGCAACAGTCAGATGCGAGCTAAAGTCAAACTCCATGCAGGTCTCCCCGAGAGTACCAGGGGCCCAAGCACTCAAGTTGTCCTGCACTGGTTAGCCCAGTGCAATAGCAAGAGCTGGGCTGTAAGTGGAGCACCCGGGACTCTCATCAGCCACGCTGTGGAATACCAGTGTTGCAGGCAGATTAACCCACTGTGCCACACTGGCCTTCAGCAGCCTATTAGAACTGCTAAACGAGTTGAGTGAAGGGGGTACCAACTTAGCACACAGGGCAAGGCAAGCAGTACAGTGGTTAAGCTGCCACCTGGGCTGCTCACACCCCCCTATCAAAGTGCCTACATGGAATGCCCGCTTCTCCACTCCTGCTGAACTCTCCTGCCAACAAGCACCCCAGACAGCACAACACAGTACTGGAGTCTCCTGGCTCCTGGTTTTGGATCAGCTCAGCTCTGGCTGTTGTGGCCACTTGGGGAGTGAACCAGCAGGTGGAAGATCTTTCTGTCCTCTCTGTGGATCTAGCTTTCCAATAAAAACAAACAAATCTGGGCCCAGCGTGATAGCGTAGTGGTTAAAGTCCTCGCCTTGCTCACACTGGGATCCCATATGGCTGCCGGTTCTAATCCTAGTGGTCCGGCTTCCCATCCAGCTCCCTGCTTGTGGCCTGGAAAAGTAGTTGAGGGTGGCCCAAAGCCTTGGGACCCTGCACCTGCATGGAAGACCCGAAAGAGCTCCTGGTTCCTGGCTTCGGATTGGCTCAGCTCCAGCTATCATGACCGCTTGAGTGAACCATCGGACAGAAAATCTTCCTCTCTGTCTCTCCTCCTCTCTGTATATCTGCCTTTCCAATAAACACACACTCATAAATAAATACATCTTTTTTAAAAAAATTTTTTAAATGGTGCTGGAACAATTTAATACCAACAATAGACTGGGACTTTGTCCATATTTCTGACCATATGCAAAATTACCTAAGACCTGAAACTGCTAGAAGAAAAAGGAGAAAACACTTTAAGATGAACATTTTTGCGGGGTAAAGCTTCCAAAGCAAAGGCAAGGAAAGCAAAAACAAAGGTGGACGTTTGCGCACAACAAAGGAAATAACAGTGGAGAGGATCTTCGCAAGCCGCTGTGTTACTAAGGATTGTTATATGGGTATGTAGAGAACCCAAAACCACACAAAATGACCTGGATATTTCTTAGAAGAAACAGTAAATGCATGAGAAATGCTTCATTTCATTGGCCACCGGAAACATAAAACTACAATGAAATTCATCTCATGCCAATTCCAGTGGTTATTAAAAAGACAACACTTGGCAAGGACGTGCAGCAAAGGGAACTGCAATACACGGGAGCGACGCAAGGCAGCGGTGTGATCCGACCAGTCCACTTGCGAATGCGCACTCAGGGAGACGCTGCGCTCCGTGTCCACGGCAGCACCAGTCCAGTCTCAGTGACAGATCAACAGATGAGGACACGTGCTGTACCGTGCGCTGGAATACAACTCCGGGACAAGAGGGGCAAGCAGACAGAACTAGAGGACAAGGAATGCTAGAAAAGCAAAGCTGGTCTCCAAGCAGAATACTAACTACCAGTAGCTAACGAAGGTTATCAAATTGTAAATGGATATGTAGCCGTTAGTAAAGGAGAAGCCTTTGTCACAGACTGTGTTCTGCGACAATCTGGACTGTGTGTGACAGAACTCTACTTCACTCACCTTCACTTAAATGAGGCAAGTACAAAAAGTCCACGTAGAATAGGAACTCTGCAAAAAGTATGTCTGCACCAAACAAACATCTTTTCATGTTATTTAGTTTTCATTTTTATTTAGTAAAGCAAATCTTCTTCCTCTTTGATCTTTCTCTTTAACAAATAATAAAGCAAGGGAAAAATCCAGTTTAAGAGCTTAGTGAGGGCTGAAAGGTAAGATAAAAGGAAACTGAATTCATCTAGAGAATAAGGATACAGATAAAATTAAACAAGAAAAAGCAGGCTACAATACAATCCTACAAATGTAAACAAATATAAAGTAAACTAGTAAGTCAGAACATTATTTGGGGAAGCTCCTCAAGCTTAAAGGAAAACCAGGTGGCCAAAACGATGGCCCAACTGTCTAATCCTTTGCCTGCTAGAACTCAGCATCCCACACAGATGTTAGTTCTTGCCCTGGTTGCTCGACTTCCCACCCAGCTCCATCCTTATGGCCTGGATGCTCAATTCAAACTTGATCCAAACTTAATAAACAACAACTACAACAACAAAAACAAAAAACAAAAAAAGCACTGAATGATGGTCCAAAGTCTTGGGACCTTGCACCCGTGCGGGACGCACAATAAGCTCTTGGATCCTGGCTTCTGCTCAGTTCAGTCCCTGCCAGCATCACCTATGGTGGTGACACTATTGAGAGTGAACCAGCAGATGCAAAATCTCCCTCTCCCTCTTCTTGTTTCTGCAAATCTATTTTTTTGCAATAAAAAATAAATCTTCAAAAAAAGTAAAAACTGAAAAATAAAAAAAAGTAAGGAGAGCCAATATCTGAACAATAGTACTTCAAAAAGAGAAACTGACTTTTAAATGGAGAGATTTCTCCAAATTGACATAAAGACAATCCTGAGTCTAGAGAAGTCGAAAAGACAAAGGAATTTTATGGCTAGACACATGATACTGAAATCAGAACATCAAATGCAAAGAATCTCAAAGGGCCGCCACAGTGCCACAGTATGTTACACTATCACCTGTGACAGCAGCATCTCCTATGGATGCTGGTTGCTCTATTTCAGATTCAGCTGTCTGTGAATGCATCTAGGAAAGCAGTGGGAAGTGGCCCATGTTCTTGGGCCCATGCCACACACCTGGGAGAATGGATGAAACTCCTGGCTCCTGTCATCTTTGGCCTGGCTCAGCTTCACTGGTTGCAGCCAAAATTTGGGGACTGAGCCAGCAACTGAAAAATACCTCCCCTCCCTCTGTCTTCATCCACCCTCCTACTATGCCTTTCAAAGAAATTAATTAATTAATCCTGCTTTCCCCACACCTTTTAAAATTCTTCGTGGTCCTGTTTATGTAAATGCTGAAGAAGTCACAGACACATCCAGGGATAGATGTGCAGAGTGAGGAAAGTGGGAGAGACAAGTTTGTATTTTCATCTATGTCCATCAGGACAGTGAGTGCACCCCTTCCTGTTGCATGGCTTCTTGTGACCCAGAGAAGGAGAGTGGTTACATGCCAACGCCCTCAGCTCCAAGTGAAAGGCGACTGGCTGGGAGAAAGGATCAGCTACTCCAGCTCCAGTCCAAGTCCTTATTATTGACATGGGAAGCAGCTAATGGTTGCTCAAGAACTTGAGTTCCTGTCACATATGGGAGAGACACTGATGCAATTGCTGGCTCCTGGCTTCCTTCTGGCCCAGCCCTCAGTTACTGCAGCCACTTGAGGAATAAATCAGTCAGTAGATTGCTTTTCGCCTCTCACTCATTTACTTGAAAGCATCAAATAAATAAGCTTTCTTTTTTAAGTGGAAGAAGTTAATAACCTATGCTGGAAGAAATTAAGTACATCAATAATTATTCATCATTATGATAAACTGCTCAACCTGACCTACTGATTGAAAACTGTATGGGTAACATGGCCACATCCCAAACTAGAGGGTCTACGTTCAATCTCCAGCTCTGCTTCCTGCCTCCACAGCCCTACCAATACAGACCACAGGAGGCACTAGTAACAGCTCATGTATTTGGGCCATGCTACTCATGTGGGAGACTCTGAGTTCTCAGCTCCCAACCACCTTGCCCAGCCCTGGCTGTTGGAGGAATCTGAACAGTGAAACAGCAGATTGGCCATTTCTTTTGGTCTGTCACCCTGTTTCTCTCGCTCTTTCAGCCATTTGAATCAACTTTAAAAAAACAACAAGGGAAGAACTAAAAGTATTTGGGTATCAATACCATAGAAAACTTCTCCAAGGACATTCTTTCAAAATTTTATACTTAAAAACTTGCTCTATACCCCTTCTGTTTTATCTTAGACATATACATGATTTTGCTTTCTCAAAAAAATACAAATCTTACATTACTTGTTCAACTTAAAGACAGAACAAACATTTTTGAATACAGCATTGTTTACTTACATATCGAAAAATTCTCCACATAAAAATGCAAATGAGAACAAAAGTAATGGCTGAACGTATATTGCAACCCCACAGAAATCCACGGGGATGAGCTCTTTGTCCAGCATCCTCAGGTACTGTAGGAACAACCTTCAAGACAAAGAAAACTCAGTTCTTAAAAATGCAATTGAGGCAGTAAACAGAGATCCAAATCTATATAGCCAACTCCATTATTTTCCTTTCAGGAAACGGGCTGTAGAATCATAACAAACAGAAGGCACCACAGGAAATTCTTCTGGAAACTTCTACCTACTATCACTCAGTGCAAAAGACGCACGATAGAGAGAAAAGCAATCATTTCTCAAACTGGACTCAAATACGAGCATCCCCACACCTTCCAAATGATGGGACAGGAACAGAGAAGGCCACTGAAAGAAGCTGAGTAATGTAAGTTCAGCTTCTTTCCTTTTTTTAACACCAAATTGGGTTCTATATATATAAAGTATATTATATTCTCCGTGAAAAGATTTCCCTACTGGAAAGGGAAAAAAAAGTTATCTGAAGCTTTCAAATGAATTTTGAGGTGTGGGTCTTTTGTTTAATGATTAAGATTACATTCCACAGAATTGCCTTGCTCAATTCCCAGTCCCAGCTCCTGACTCCAGCTTGCTGCTCATGCAGAATCGAGAAAGCAGCAATGGCTCCAGTAACGGAGGTCCTGCCCCCACAAGGGAAAGCTGAGTTGTATGCGTGACTCCCAGCTTGAGCCCCAGACACAGCAGACAAGCAGGTGAGAGCACCGTCATTCTCTGACTCAATCTTCACAACTCTCAAACAAATATTTCAATTACAAAGTCTAAAAGTCACTGACAGAACTTTGGGTTTAGAGTTCTTGTTTAAAAAGAGTCATTTTGTTTACTTGGGAGGTAGAGTGAAAGAGTCAGAGACTTCTCTCCACTTCCCCAAATGGCAAAAACTGGCAGCTAGGTCTGGTCGAAGTCAGGTGCCTAGGACCAGATCTAGGTCTCCCACATGGGATGCAGGAGTCCAAGCACATGGCCAGTTTCTGTTGCTCTCCTAGGTGCATCAGAGGAAGTGGATCAGAAGTGGTGCAGCCAGTATTGCAGTGTGGGAGGGCAATGTCATGGGAGGTAACTTTATCAGCGATGTCACAATTCTGCCCATGTGTTTAGATTCTGAAGCCCTGCACTCCAACTCTATAGGTTTCTCCTATTATCTAGGAGGGAATGATCTATTTTCACACTCAGGAAATTGAAAGGGAAGCTCTATTTTTGGCCCTTCATGGTTGTGATGCCATAACTGTGACCTTGGAAATCACTTCTTCTCTCCCATTGGTCTTGAGCAAAATACAGCTCGACTTTCAACCTGGTTCTGTAGTTCAACTCTCTCTGGATCAAGCCCCAGATGCCACTTTATGAAAAATAAAGCACACAGGCAGGGAAAAGAAGATGACAAATGCATTTTAAAGAGCAATCTGAACTACAAGCTTAGTTCTTTCTGGGCTTCAATCCAAAATCTCTATAGCAAATTTTCCTTTGGTAGACGGTAGACCTTTCTGCCTAAGGGGGGACAAAAAAAACTTACCAAGTATTCTCCCCTCCAAGATCTTTTTTATAACTCTAATCCTCGCAGCCAGGCTGCTCTCTATGTATTTATTTAATATAGACCAAGTAAATAAGCCTGATAATTTGAGAGGCAGAAAAAGAATTAGTCCTCTTGTTGGGATGCCTAGATTGCCAGAGCCAGAAAGCTGGCAGTTTTACTCCAGATTCCTTCTTTCTCTCCTCCTTCATATCTAATAATGAAGTAATACTCGTTTTAACTTTTAGTGCCTAACTATGTGCCTACTCACTATTTCCTCCTCTATTCCTACCACTCTGTTATCACTCACTTCAGTTCTATCTTGAGTTTTGCTTCTCTGACATCTAACCTACATCCTTACCTAGGCCCAGGAAGGCCCAAGTCTAACTCCCGGAAAGGCTTCAACCAGCTCCCCAACACCTACAGCACTTGGACTCTATGTCCCTAGCAAGCACACCAACACATCAGTTCCTGAGCCCACTCTCCACTAACACAGCTGCTTTTCTCTTCATGCACCACTGTGCTTCATGCCTCCACTGCTTAAACCAGCTCCTTAGCCTAAAGACTTCCCTAATCAAAGAAAATACCATCTCTTCCAACCTTCAATTTCCCTAGCAGACTGTGTGTATGCTTCAGTAAGCATTTGATTCTTTATACTAGTGTTGTATACTCATTTTTGTCTTCTCTCCCCCTGCACAGCTTGATGCTGGTGGACAGACAACAAACACACACACACACACCTACAGTACAATAAATGAATAAACAGAATAATTGCAACTGCCTCAATGTTTAAATGGTCTTTAAAAAAAATAAGAGTGTGTAATAAAACATGGCAAGAGAAATACCACTTAACATGCCCACAACTACTACCATGAATACTGAAGCAGGAAAAATCTGTTACCTAATAATAAACTGAAGCTAACAAACAAATAAACAAACAAACAAAAAACCTCTGGGAATTCATAATCGCTATGCTTTAACAATATCATCCCTGTTAACAAGACAAAGATAAAAGAGGGTAAACAATCTCACTTAAAAGCATCTCTCAGGGGCACTCTTTATTGGAAGATGATGAATTATAATCCCAAACTCTGAAGCTAGCTCAGGTGTCCTTTCAAGACAAGAGGTTTCATCACTACATGGATTTAGGGATTTCTGCCCTTAACTTTGTCAGAGTTGGAAGGACCATGTGTCACTGACCCCCGCTCAAACTTTAAAACAAAAAGGCTACTTCATTTGGAACTCAAGAACCATTCCCATACTTTGTGTAGACCAAGTTCCTGATACCCAGGTCCTGCTCTACCACAGGAGCAAACCACACAATACACCTGGCCACAGTGAGGGCTGGCCTCAGACCCTGAGATCACACTGGCTCAGATTACATAACCCTGAGGGCACCCAGACTCACTTCACGTAGCTCATCCTGGAACTACCCCACATGTAAATGTGGGGTGGCCCCGGGGGGCTCCATTCACGGAGAAGAGGGTTAAATATCCACTACCACCATCCACAGCCTCCATGGGAAGAATACTGGCTTTGTTTACAATCCACTCCTGGCAACTGGAGCGTACCACTCCAGAGCCAGCTATGGGGGACCAGGGAGAGCCACAGAACATGGATCCCACAGGCCTGTGGTGCCACAACACACAACTGATAGGGCATCATGATGGCCCCTTTGGTACACTTTCTATCCCAGCATAATACAGGTCTGAACCCATCCCACCAGAGCCTGTGACATACCCTCTCGCCACCAGCTCACCCCTCCTCATAAATGGAATAGTCCAACTGCCACTGGGAGTCACCCTCCATCTTGGTGGAAGGCTCTCTGAAATGGGCAGGTGTTATACCTAGGGAGGCCCCACACACCCAGAAAATAAAAGTGTTTGGGCCTGGAGAACGGAACGGGGCCTCAGGCCCTGTGCTGTAGTTTGGGCTATACAGCCAGGAAGGTTGGGGCTGTGGCGCAGACACTCAGGACTTGGGAAGCTGTGGTGGTCACTGCCAAGCTCTTCCCAAGGTCCTCGTGGTGCAGCTCCATGAGGTGACTGCAGTGTGCCCCCTTGACCTGGCAGCTAGCCAGCCCAGGCCTGAGCCTCAGCAGCTGATCCACGGTAACGGAGGCAAATCATGAGGATAGCCCGTCAGTGTCCAAGTGCCATCAGGCAGCTAGCTGGTCTATCATGACACTCAAAGGGTGGGAGGAATCTGGGAGCTCCATTCCACATGTGCCCACCTGGGAAAGAGGCTGGCAGGGACTACCCACTAACAGGCATCCATCCTCTTGCCTTCTGAGGATATGGCACCTGTGCACTTTCACTCGGAGCCCTGACCCAGTCCAGGGACCATGCCAAAGGACAGAGGCAGGAAGCCTCATTTCTGATGCAAAACCCTGGTCTCTCCAGTCCTGGGTTCTCACAGCACTCACCTGCCCATTGCCTGTCCCTCTGTACAGATCAGGACCCAGAAAACTCTACTGAAGAAGTGGCTGAGAGAATGTGGCATGCAATGCTTGCTTGCTGGACTCCCTGCAGAAACAAATGAGGTTGGTTAGGGACACTTTTGCCCACCGTGCCTCCTTATTCAATCCATTCCCTGAGACACTTCTTCATCCAAGGTGGACATCCCACTTGGCCCAGCAAGCAAGCAAGCGTGATCACCTGCTCTGGGGGTTGCTGGGCCAAGTGGGATGTCCATCCCAGAACTAAAAGGCCTCTGCCTTGTGAGCCATCCCTGCATCCAGAGGACGTGGACTCAGGAGATCATCCTTTACCCACACATCCCTGTAACGTGAGACCATCCCCGCATCCTCATGCTCCGATCGCACAAGGTTATCTATGGAACTGAAGGCCAATGTCATGTGAAGTCATCCTAGGCCACAGTTCTGTCACACAAGGTCATCATTGTACTCACAGACCCAGTTGTTAGAGGCCACCCTGCATCTACAGATCGCACACCCATCAAGTCAGCTCTGCATGCAAACGACCTGTCACATGAGGCTATCACTGCATCCAAAAGCCACTCTCATTGTGTGGCCCTCCCTGCACACACAGGTCACCATCATGTGAGGCAATGCTGGGGTCCGTGTGATGGGTGTGGAAGACAGGAAGGTGTGAAGAGTATAGTTCCTTTGCAGGCAGGGTCGCAAGGAACTTCCTGCTGTGTGGCAAGGCCCGGTGGATGTCTCTACAACACCTGAATGCAGCTCTGCCTCCCTTTGCATGGACACCGGACAACCCCGCTGAGTATTCTGTAATCTATTTAGGCATTGTCTGCCTCTGCGGAGTTACTGTTAAACGTCAGTAGGAACTTAGAAGCTAATGTTGCTAGTGGCTAGTTTTCAGCCAAAGAGCTATTATCGCTGTTAGGGCTGCGTCCTGTGGCAATATGTTAATCAAGAGTGTTAACTCCCCCTTTTGATCCTATGCTAATCTTTTAGGTCCCTTCCTTCCTTGACTGTCTCAAGACCTAGCTGTAAAGTAATTGTGGTAGGAATGTGCTACTGACTGATATGCATCATCTATTGAAAACCTTTTCCTAGCCAGGCACCAGTTGGTTAACATTCTAGCCTTAGGTGAAACAAATGGCAGAGTTATCTTTGGAAACACCCACTTGACCATGACGTAAAAAGTCTGAGCCAGAGTTTGACTGATTTTGTATAAATAAAGCGGACAGCTTTTGTGCGTGGTCCATTATGATGATGAAGAGTTACTAGTGGTCCGTCTCTTTCTTTGCGCCTCATCCACGCACCCTTCGCGAGTTCCGAACTCAGCTGGAGCTGGACTCCGGCAAGTGGCGCCCAACAGGGACTCGACGAAGGTAAGTCTTTTCTTTCTCTTTGCGGCGTGGATAGGACTTCACCCAGGGTGCTGCAGGCCCCCTGACAGAAGGTCAGGTTAGGAGGGGTGAATAGTCAGAACTTATATTGAGAAGTTGTGTACCCTCTGTGCTGTAAAAATGGGCCAGAGCGATTCTAGTGAAAGAAGTTTATATGCTGATATTATTAAACATACCTTACATAGGAAGGGCATTAAAGTTAGCAAGAAGCAATTATTAGAATTTTTACAATTTGTACAAAAAGTTAGCCCGTGGTTTATTGAGCAGGGCACTTTAGAATTAAACACATGGGACCAGGTAGGGAATGATATGAAAAGGTGGTATCGGAGTAATGGACGAGTGGGCATGCCATCCTCTGCATATGCCATTTGGAATGTTTTACGGCAGGCACTAGATGTGGGACCTGAGCCTTATCCCGCGCCTTCAGCTCAGCAGGGAGAACATACTCCCCTTCTTGATCCTGAGAAGGGAAGCTTAGGCCTTAGTTATAGCTCAATGGAAAGTGTCTGTCCTGAAGATAATGTAAAATATTGTAAAACTGATCATGGAAGTTTAACAGATGAGGAAGAAGATTTTTTAAAACCAGAAATATTTAGATCAGGAGTTAGAGATTGTGAAAAGGGGCAAATGGCTGAGTTACATGATAATAGGTCTCCTGCTGTTGATGATAAGCCTTCAAGGTATTCTGCTAAGCCTTGTGAGCCCCTTCCACCTAGACCAGATCCAGCAAAGATTGGCTTTAATGGGGCAATGCAGCAGGCACATAAGGAAGGTGATTTTTTCTGTTTTCCTGTTGTTTATGAATGCGATGATCCTGAATGGGAACCGTTGCCTCATAAGCTTATTAAAGAACTAAAGCATGCTGTCTCTGACTACGGGCCAAACTCCCCGTACACTATGACAATAGTGAAGAGCCTAGCAGCAAAGTGGATGACTCCTTATGATTGGTTTCAGGTTGCTAAGGCTTGCCTCACAGGAGGAAACTTCCTTTTGTGGAAAATGGAATATGAGGAATTAGCTAAAGCAGAAGTAAAGTCTCAGAGATCTGTGAGGCATGGCAAACTTTCTTTTACCTTAGACATGCTTTTAGGACAGGGCACTCATCTTGGCGTTTCAGAACAACTTACTCTGCCTAAGGAGACATTACAGCTTATCTCCTCCCTGGCACTAGGAGCATGGAGACGCTTGCCATCTCCAGATCAAAAGTCTCCAGGTTTTGTAAATGTTAAGCAGAAGCCTGAGGAGCCTTTTGCAGATTTTGTAACTAGACTCACCGAAGCAGTCAGCCGGACAGTAACTAACAATACAGCTACAGATCTCATAGTTAAACAGCTAGCTTTTGAGAATGCCACTCCAACTTGCCAAACCTTAATTCAGCCAGTGAGAAGGACAGGAGATTTGGCAGACTATGTTCGAGCTTGTGCTGAGGTAACTCCATCTTATATGCAAGCGTTAACTATCGCTGCAGCTCTTCAGGGTCAAACTGCTACTCAGATTTTAAAGAACATAAGAGGCAATCAAAGAAATAGAAAAAGAAACAATTGCTATTCTTGTGGTGGAGTAGGGCATATCAGCCACAGCTGTCCTGCCAGAAACTCATCCCAAAATTTCAAACAGGAAAAAACTTATAGGGACACTCCTAAATCCAATTTAAATATTCCTCGCACTGTCTGTCCGCGGTGTGAGAAGGGATTTCATTGGCAAAAGGCTTGTCAGTCTAAATTCCACAAGAATGGGACAGTTCTATTGCCTCACAGTCAATCTAAATTGAGTAAACAGTCTGTACAGGGTGAGATGCAGGGAAACGAGAGATGGGCCCTGTCCTGGGCCCCCCAAGTAATGAGGACATGCATGGATATTGTCTCTGAAAGATACAAAACTAAAATGATGAGTGCTGCATTAAGCAATGGTTTAAAGCAAAATAGATCTAAATGTCATAATTGTGGCAAATTGGGACATATGTGGAAAGATTGTAGGAAACGAAATACCCGAAAATTTGGTGAACAGGTTATGGGTTATCTAAAAGCCTGTGGTAACATGGGGACTTTCAAACACCCTACTCACCTTGCAAGGTTTCAAACCACTGCTATTCAGAAGCAAATGAATGCTAAGTGTTCTAACTGTGGGAAGCCCAGCCACCTTCCAAAACAATGCAGAGCAACATCTCTTTTAGCTCAAAAATGTGGCACTAATACTGTTAAGGATCAATGCCCTAAGATAAATTCTAAATGTCACAGAGGTGTACATTGGGCAAAAGTATGTAAATGTAAATCTAAAATTGATCATGATGGCCAGCGCCTGTTGTCAGGAAACTCCTGGCGGGGCCAGTCTCAGGCCTTGAATAATCAGAGGTTTAAAAGACAGCAATATTTTACCCAAGCTGTGCCTATAGAAGAGTAACAGACTTAAAACCTGATATTGATTATGGAAATGCTAATTAAAAGTTGGTATCTTCCTTGGCAATTAATTATACTACCTACTGTTCATACCCCAACTGGATGTTTGTGACAACAAGGGTCTTTAGAGTGGCTGCATCTCCTTTCCATGTATAAAAAGGTTATTACTCCTTATTGTGCTTTGGTCTCCACCTTAATTATTAAGAGATATAGGAATAGGAGCCTTTTTGCAAAGATGTAAATTAAATAATTATTCCTTATAGCTCTTAACAGCTTAGTTATCTAATATCTGAGGATGAGACATGACAAATAGCACTCTTAACCCTTGTGGGTACAATTTCATACCATTTAACTAAAAATCTCCTTGTTAAAAGTCATCCGGTAATATTTCAAAAGATTTGCTTCTTTAGTCTTTACAGATGGGTCACCTAACAAAATAGTTTCTCTAATCATAGATTTTGAAAATATCCTTACTGACCGATGGAAACACCCCAATTTCCTCTTAAAACTTGGAGGAGGGAATGCTTTCATTTTTCCACAGGTCACGGACTTGCTGATGTGGATTCCAGATCCACTGATTAGGCATCCTTGCCCAATTTACATTTTGCAGCGGCAAGCATCCTCTACTGAAGTTCCTCCTCCTGCCCAGCAACTTCAGGGTTAAACTCTCTTCTCTCCAGCAGGTACAATCACTCCCTGACCTCCTCCCCCTCCTCTCTGTTAGGATACTCAGCCCACAGATGCAGTTTCTCCAGGACCTTTTACTTTTTTTTTTCCTTTGTCAAGCCTACCACCTCCAACCTTTTTTAGCCAAAAGCAGCAGGGTAGGAGATAAACTAACCTGGGTCCACAGAAAAATATCTATCATGTTGTACTTTATAAATAATGTTTTTTCATAACTAACATCTCTTTTTTAACCATATTAAATTTTTATATTGAATTTTTGAATTTTATGAATATAACTCTTAGGGTATTGTTTAAGACATTCCTTTAAAAGTGTAACATTTACACCAAACATAAATTGGAATCAAAGTAACATCTAATCCACTGTTAAATTTTTTCCAGGTATGGGATGCACCCATGCTTTTATCTGCTAGTCTTTATATTTAGATATATCGACTTTAAAATACTGTTTGCAGCGTTTTCTAAAATGTTCATTATTGCTTCATGGAATTAAAGTCTGATCTTCTGTTATTACAACAAAGTTTTGAAAGCACATATTATAACATCTCCTCTTAATTGTTTTTATCTAATTAATGATTACATCCTTTTAGTAAGCTCCAGTGAACTCCAGA